GAAAGAGGACACCAATTTCTAACGGAAATTAGCAAATGCAAAAGAACGCAGCAGAAAGAGTGCAAGGTAGTATGAGAACCAAAAAACACTCAAAACTGACGTATGGTTAAATAAGGACTTAGGATTTCAGTTGTTGTGCTTTGTCACTCGTATACAAATAAAATGCCTGGTTCCTTTTCCTCCTGACCTTTTTCTTAAAATGATGTGGAAAGAGCTGGAGCATGAAGTGCAAGGGGTGGGGAGAGAAGAGGCAGCAGGGGTGCAAGCATGTTTGGGGGACCACGAGAGGTGGTCAAGGCGATCCTTAGAGTCAATGGCATCAGTTCTTCTGGGGAACAGTCCATTGCCTTGATGGAATAACAAGTCCATGAAACCAGTCAAGAGGCTTTAGGACAACAAAAAGCAAAAGCCAATTTACGGAAGACATGGAATTTCTCCTTACTTGTTCGGGTTCAACATGGCAAAACATCGATATTTTTTCTTTTACTGCTGTGTCAAGAGGATTTGAGCACCTGCACACCACCTAGGAGTAAAGAAAACAAGAAGACTGAAGATAGTAGGAAGAGATTATAAAGTGGGTCATTTCGTTTCTTTAAAAACCCACTAGGACTCAATTATGGGGCCTAACCATAACCAGTAAATCTCTAGTCTCTTTCCAAAAGTCTGACCTTGCGACACGATCAATTAGATCGCATTTTTGCCTTTTTAATCCCCTGATGATGATTCAGCGTGCCAATCTGGGAGGGACGTGTTCAAACCACAGCACCAGGCATCAGGAAATCTTACCAGATCTGGGGAAAGCCCAAGTCCTCTAAGTTCACGAACGCTATTCTGGGTGGGTTTAGTCTTCTGTTCCCCTGTGGAGCTTGGCTATTTTACAAAAGGAAAAAAAAAAAAAAGTTAGTTTATCTGTGATAAAGAAATTTCCAGTATGACTTTTGATTACTTACATAATTTAGCTTTTTCTTTTTATCCAAGTGACACAAGCATAGTTCTACAGGGTCTGTGCTAAAGAATGTGGTTCCCAGCCCTCATATCCACCCTCTCTCACCAAACCTTACAAACCACTCTTGCAGTTCTGTTTTTGTTACTGCCAGAGGGTACGCACACTTGCCAGAGGGACACTCTCCTCTTGGGATTTTAGACATGCGTTCACATATGCCCAGCGTGATTCGCAAGCCTCTAGGTCTGGGTTTCGAACTGTGAAGCTAGGCACGTGGAATCCAGCACTTTCACTTCTATGCCACCTACTGGCCCAGGGCTGGCCCTCCTCGCCATCTCCGCCAAGGAAAACTCCGAAAACCTTACCTGAGGAACTAGACTGACGTGGATATTACAGAAGTTCTCTCTTTTGACCTTGAACTGGAACTGACGGAAGGCCTCAATGAAGGGCATGCTTTCGATATCTCCAACTGTCCCGCCCAGCTAGAAGACAGGGAGTTCAGAGGTTCAGCACCTGGCTTTCAAAGCTGGTGGTTTACTTTTCTGTCCACGGCTCTGCCGCCTCAGTCCAGTGACCGGTGACCACGCCGTGTCAGTTCGCAGGAGTGAGACTTCGTTTGTGGATAGGCTCTCCATTCCCCAAGCCTATCTGGCTCTTTCCACATCATTTTAAGAAAAAGGTCAGGAGGAAAAGGAACCAGACATTTTATTTGTATGCGAGTGACAAAGCACAACAACTGAAATCCTAAGTCCTTATTTAACCATACATCAATTTTGTATTAAAAAGTGAACAGTTGGGGCCAGCAGATCGCACAGTGGTTACGTCGTCTCTGGACTCCCACATGGCTGACCGTGGTTTGAGTTCTAGACCAGGTGACTTGAAAATCACACCGGGCACGAGTGTGTGCGGCCAAGATTCTGGGAGAATGGACTGTGGCATGGCCATCCGCCCTGGGAGTGAGTTCTCACTTTCCCTCTCACTGTCTCTGTCTCTCTCTCTCCTAGGCAAGCACATACACTCTATGGCAAAAACCACTTAAAAAAAAAAAAAAGGAAAAAAAAGAACAGTTATAAAAAACTGCTGGAACTTCTAGACCAGAAGTGACCCAACGGCCAGCAGGGTGACCAGGGACGCTCACCCAGAGCCAAACCCTCTGCCCAAGGACGGCGGGTCCGTCAACTCTCAGACGGAGGAAAGGGTCTCGTGCACTCTCCTTGGTACAGTCGGTACTACGTGAATCCGTAAATGCCGAGAAAGGAGCATCACGTGGACAAGGTACCACGTTCCCCTGCACGGTCACTACACGTGGCTGCCACTGTGCCCTCGCCTGCCACACAGCAGCAGACACTGCACGGACAGAGCGGAGGTCGGGGCTCCCCTGGGAACTCCCTTATCAGCTGCTGACGGCTGACTAAGGAGAGTAAATACATTGTTCACGCAGGAGGGACCATACAGACCTCAATAACACACACTTGAGGTTCCAGGCCATCTTCATCGACAGGAATCAGGGCCTGTCTCATCACCCACTCCTGGATGGCATCTGTGATGTGAGGGACAACTGGGGAAGAGAGAAAACAGGCGTCATTTACACTTGCCCCCTGGTTAAACTGCGGCACTCTGCCGGGAGGGACAGAGTGATGATGAGGTCAGGAAAATACTTTTGAGGCCCCCTTTAAATGGCCTCCACGAATCTTTGGGCTCACTCTCCCCAAGCCTCCTTCCCAGAATTCCAAGCTGTCGCTGGAAGCACAGTAAGAGATTACGTGGCCAAGAGCGGCGTCTGGCCCCACCTCTAACAGAGCAGATGCCCTGTGTGGTGTCCACCCTTCCGGCCACACACCCACACAGTAGGCCAGGGGGCCGGTCCCACTGCTCACGGCTGAGGCTGCAGGCGGGCACATCACACCTGGCTGCTCCGCCAGGACGGGCTGACAACCCCTGCAGAGGCAGTGCGGTACGGCAGGCCGTCAGGAACCCCGTGCTGGGACCAGCACGTCTGGACTCAAATCTCAGCTCCACACTCACTAGCTGTCACCACTGGCACGTTTCTAAACTGTTCTAAGCGGCTTTCTCCACCTGTTAAGCGGAAATAACGGCTCCTTCTTACAGTTGCACTCTCTGTGAAATGGTGCTTGCAGGACAGCGCTTGGCAGAGCCCGCAGCAGGCCAGTGCTCAGTTGGGGTGACGATTACTGTTAAATCCAGCAATCAGAGCTAAGCGGCAGTGCTTCGTGCAGGAGATCCATCACCTATCCCTCACCAGGCAGCTGGCCATCTTTAGCTTTCTTTTGAGAGAGATTTTTGCTATCGGGCATATGTGCTCACTGGAGAGACACACACAGAGAAACAGAGACAGAAAATGAGAACCCATCCCCCAGGGGGGATGGCCATGCCTCAATCCCTTCTCCTCCATTCTCCTCTCAGGATCTTGAGCATGCACACACACGTGCCTGGCATGAGTTTTAAGCCGCTGGGTCCAGGACTCGAACCACACTCAACTATGTGGGAGTCCAGTGACGTAACCATCGCGCCATCTGCTGGTCCCACGATCTTTGTTTTGTTGTGTGTGCTGTTCTATTTTCTTTATTCACGACAGCGTGTGTGTATGTATATGAGGGAGAGAAGCATCCTCCACGGCGTCTAGTAAGGCTGCGATACCCTTCCTCCAGCCCAGCAGATACTGGGCACTCTCCCGTCTACCCAGCAGGTGTCAGGTCAACCAGGCCGGGGATTCAAACTGCAGTCACTATGTGAATCAGCTTCTCTTGAGCAGCATGTTACCCTCGAGCCCCAGAGCAAGCCCGTGTGTGCTGTTTGCAGACAAAGTCTCACTGTCATTGCCTTCCTACCTCAGCCTCCTGAGTACTGGGGCCATGTGCACCACCACACCTGGCTTTTAGGTGGGCCAGGAGTCAAACCCAGCCCTCTCATCTGGCCGAGTCCACCACGCGGACCTCAGCTGGGCCCAAAGTGATCTTTTAAACTCACAAATCAGGATTCATCACTCCCATGTTGAAAGTTTTCAGTGGCTTCACACTGTTCTGAATTAAATCTTTATTTTATTTATTTTTTTGAGAGGTTTTTTGCTATAGGGTGCATTCACTCGCCAGAAAGACAGAGACAGACAGAAAGTGAGAAATCACCCCCCCAGGAGGGATGGCCACACCGCAGTCCCTTCTCCTCCATTCTCCTCTTGGGATCTTGGGCACGCACGCACGCACACGTGCCCAGCATGAGTTTAAGCCACCAGGTCCGGGACTCAAACCGCGGTCAACTATGTGGGAGTCCAGTGACATAGCCATTACGCCAACTGCTGGTCCCTGTTCTGAAATAAATCTAAACTTCTAGGGCTAGAAAGAGGAGACCCCCCATCTCTGCTCACCCGCTCAGCCGTACCGGCCTCCCCTCCATTCCTTGACCTTCCTCTTTCCCAAGCTTTCCCTTCATCCCACTCTGGCCTCCTACAAAACATCCTGTCTGTGGGCACCTCCCCTGACCACCTGTCCAAAGTGCTTTCCCAGTCACTCTCTTCCTCACTTGCTCATCTCCTTCGCAGCTCCTGTCAGACAACTTGTTCTGTTTGTTTTCTGTCTCTCCCACGAGTAACCTCCATGAGAATGACCTCCCTGGCCTTGTTCATCAAGTGTTCCCAGCAAGGGTCTGATCGCAGTGAGCATTCCATAAATATTTGATAGATGGTGAGTAAGCCAATGAATGCACTGAGGCCTAAAGTGTATGACCCAAATCACTTGAATTCCTAATTCCTTTCTCTGTGCCAGGAACTCAGGGAAGCATTTTACCAACCTAGGTCCTTAGCTCCTTAAATCCTCCGAACAACCAGGAGAGGTAGGTCCTGTTACTATCTCCACTTTACAGAAAAGGAGACCGTGTCTCTGAGAGGTTAAGTAACCCGCCCATGTTCACAGAGCTGGTAAGCGGCAGGGCTAAGATCCAAACATGACCCAGTTAACCCAGAATCTGGCCAGGACAGTCCCATACCAGAGCCAGCTGTCAGGGCGACCCTCAGCTTTCAACCAGTGAAGTCTAAGGTCAGAGCAGAATTACTCTCCGAACTCAGATGAAAGCCACTTTCCAGAAGCTCCCCAAATTAGGCTGCTGCCGCTGACACCAGATCAGTGGTTTTCCAACCCACCTTCTTAAAGCAGCGAAACCCTTTCTCAAGTGAACACCTGTGCAAAGCACAAAGCAGCAAAGTGGTAAGATGAAAGCTTGAGGGGACCCAGAAACCCAATTCTCGGACTCCTCATAGCACACAGGGCACCACTGACAGCCTGAAAACCAACATACACAACAGATGTGCGTTTTCTTATCACTGTCTATACCCCCCCAAGACGCACAACATACAAGCCATCTGGCCCAATGACCTAATCACACTCCTCACCATATAAAAACACCTCTCAACTCAAATCGTGCTACCCCAGCTGGACCGACAGTCTCCCCGACAGCCGCAGGGCAGCATGGGACTTGTCAAATTACTTTTTGAGCAAATAACCATACAATTCTGAATTTTCAGCTGCATAAAAAGTACATTGTTATACTCAAAAGAAATGAAACTGGTTAAGATTTTAAAACCTTAAAAGGTAGATCCAGTATTACCTTGGACGGTTTTCCCCAGGTAGTCTCCTTTCCGCTCCTTGTTAATGACGTACTGGTAGATCTTGCCCGTGGTCAGGTTATTGTCCTTGGTGAGGCGGATGTCAAGGAACCGCTCATAGTTCCCCAGGTCAAGGTCTACCTCCCCGCCATCATCCAGCACAAACACTTCTCCTGCAATGAACAGCGAAAACATCTAGGTAAGTGAAAACACCACGGACCACGCGCATCTTGAAATATCCGCAGGAACACAACAAAGTCTGCGTTCGTTTTCTAGGCGGCAGAACTTTACTTTCGGGAAACTGTGACACCAAAGAAAGAAAAATGACTAACCATTCTCCAAAAGATAGCTTCATACCACTAGCCTATCAACGAACTCACTCTTAACAGGAAGAGTTATAAAGTCACACAGAATGGAAGGAAATGACAGCCCAGAAGGCTGAGGGTACATGGGGCTTTGGTCAGCCTCTATTGCCTAGAGAAAAAGAACTTTCAGAAACATTTCCTAACTAAGCAGAGCACAGTTCAAAAGAACAATCTGAGGGACCAGGAGATGGTGTAATGGTTACGTCACTGGACTTCCCACATGGTCAACCATGGTTCAAGTCCCGGACCCAGTGGCTTCAAACTCAGGCCAGGCATGTGTGCTTTGCATGCCCAACATCCTGAGAGGAGACTGGAGGAGGAGAAGGGATTGCAGCCTGGCCATCCCTCTGGGGGGTAATTTCTCACTTTCTATCTCTCTCTGTCTCTTTGGTGAGCACACAGCCCTATAGCAAAAATCTCTCTTAAAAAAAGTAAAATCTGATTGAAAACTTATATAAGATATATGCATGTTAAGGTTGTATGGATTATAAAATTTTGCCCAGAATGGATTATTTCTACCATTACAACAAGGGATGAGTTCAGAAAGAGGGAGAGGAAATGTCTTATTTTCCCCCCAGAGACAACTCATCCTATGCTCAAGAATTCCGCATTAAATATCACTCCAGTATACCAAATGACATAATGGTTACATCACTGGACTCCCACGTAGTTGATGGCAGTTCAAGTCCTGGATCTGGCAGCTTGAAACTAATGCCTGGCACGTGTGCCTACATGCCCAAAATCTCGAGAGGAGAATGGAGAAGAAGGGATTGTGGTGTGGCTGCCTCCCCTGGGAAGGGGGTGTGACTTCGCACTTTCTCTCTCTCTCTGTCTCTCTTTGTGGATAGTGTATGCACCTCATAGCAAAAAAAAAAAAAAAAGCTCTAAAAAATTAAGACATTTTTGTTAGACGATACATGCACTCACCAGAGAGACAGAAGAGAGATGAAAAGAGAGAAAGTGAGAAATCATCCCTCCCCCAACCCCAGAAGGACGGCCACACCATAATCCCTTCTCCCATTCTCCTCTCGGGATTTTGGGCACACACACACCACGCCCAGTGTCAATTTTAAGTCACCGGGTCTGGGACTCGAAATCGCGGTCGGCCATGTGGGAGTCCAGCACCTTAACCACTACTCCATCTGCTGGCCCCTGAATACAGAATTTTAAAACTTAAGAGGTGTGTTTTAGCAGCACACCTCTCCCAATTTTAGGCAATTAACCTCTGCAGTAACTTAAGACAGACATGCTATTGTGACAGGCCCTTAGCGTCGATAAAGAAATAAAATGAAATTTTCCTACCCAGCCTTAATGATTCTGCTTTTTAGTCATCTCAAAAGGTCCTCGCTTATAACATCTAAATTCTACCTTACAGATTCTCAAACCCAGTTCTAGCTGTTGCTTGAATCCCTACAAAGTGGTCCTCTAGCCTCTGTATGACCATCTCTACCAAAGGTACCTCACGACTTCTTGAAGTCAGTCACCTCACTCTTCGGGGGGGGCTTGCTAATACAAACCCAAATGAGCTTTCTTATACTGAGACAAAGTTAATCCCCTATGTCTGTCCAGCCATCCTTCTTCCAAAGCTTGGAGTCACACACAGAAGCATACTTCCCCTTCCCAAGTATCTGACAAATGTTCTATGTCACCAGAGTCTTTTTTCAAGAGAAGTGACCAATTTTCACTTAGCCACCAAAAAGATAATTTCTTACAGAAACCTCTGGACTCGAATCACTACACTGTCTACTAAGAGTTTTTCTTCCGGGGCCATCAGATATGGTGCTGGTTAAGGCACTGGACTCCCGCATGGCTGTGTGGTTCAAATCCCGAGCCTGGCAGCTTTGAAAATCACACCAGGTGTGTATGTGTGCACACATGCCTAAAATCCCAGGAGAAGGGATTGTGGCATGGCCGTCCCCCACTGCAGGGGTGACTTCTCATTTTCCCTCTCCCTGTCTATCTCTGACAAGTACACTTGCCCTGGGGCAAAAAAAAACTTAAAAAAAATAAAAAAAGTTCTGCGTTCTCCTATCCAGGTGAGGAAAAAAAAAAATCACTCTTTTACATAAATGACGTTTCTAGAAGGCAGGAAATGGAAGTTATGCAAAATGGACACACAATCCCCAAATGCAGACACGTTCTTCCACACACTACACAAGTTTCAAAGAAAGAGAGCGCCTTGCTTACCATGTTCGTAAGGAGAGAACGTCCCCGCGTCGATGTTAATGTAGGGGTCGATCTTGATGGAAGTTACGTGAAGACCACACGACTTCAGTATCGTGCCCACACTGCTGGCAATGATCCCCTTCCCGATTCCTGATATAACACCGCCGGTGACTAGAATGTACTTCATTTTACCTTTCGATCTGGGAGAAGGAAAAAATAAAAATAAAAAACAACGGATAAAACAGATCTCGACCAATCAAACGTCTGTGTGTTCGGACACTGGCCCTGCTGATGGCTGTCTAGGACCCCTCGTGGAGCCTCAGTTTCCTTGACTGTCACATGATTTCAGAAGGTTCTTGTCAGGTTTCCACAGGATCATAACAACTGTTCCTCGGATCACTGAACGGCTTTATCAAATGTGAAGAGAAAAACAATTGCTACTGAAATAATGTAGCTTTTGTTTAAAGCCTGGACAACCAGCAGCCCTGAGAGTCAATCTAATTTAAAAACAGCTCTAAGCTGCCTGACAGGACACTCTGTCCCAAATACGGATGACATTACGGCTGGACATTAGGGTAGCAGGCAGGTACTTCATTATTTTCTCTACGCCCAAAAAATGTTCTTCTCCTTAGATAAGGATTCCAATTCTGCATGAAAGAACTAATGTCTTTGACTCAACTAGTGAATTACCAAGAAAACACAGTTCCTCTGGGTTACGGGGGAAGGGGAAAAGGCAAGAATGTCCACACTCCAAAGGAGTTGCACCTAAACCTAAATTCTTTCCAGTAAAGGTGGATCTCGTCTATAACTTAGTATGCTGCTCCTTGCAGGCAAGCTTTCCCAGGCACGCCATGAGGAGAGACTGGATGTACTGGGGGAAAGGACATTCGATAACAAACCAGTCTGAAGTACGAAATGGCAGAGGACTCCCAGAGAACAGAGATTTGATTAAACACAAAAAAACCCTATAGTCATGGCAGGGAACAGACGGAGTAGACTTGATGAGAGATCGAGAGCTACGTGCAGCGACAGTCGAGAGGCAGGTGACAATGGCATAGACAGGAGGTGAAGAGACAGTGGCCGCGCATCAGGGAGGGTTTGTCACTGCTTCAGAGGCCTAGAAGCATCATTTGTCAGCAAATCCAAATGCGATCAAAATGAGCAATGAAATCACCAAAGAGCAGAGAACCCTTGCTTTGGCACGGTCAGGACATTCTCCTCCAAGAATGTTCCATGTGAAGCTAAACTATAATAAAAATAAACTAAGACAGACACAGGGAGACCAGGGAGTTCTGCTGCACGCCCTCCCCGACCCGTCTCCTCCCCAGAGCAAGAACGAACCGCTTGGCAAGGAAGTAAGAAAGCTTAGCCCAATGGCAAGGAGGACATGGTCCTGTCCTCGCTCCTCTGCTGCACCATTTCCAAAGCGTGTTTCCTGGTGTCTGCAATATGTACATGGAATTTTTCTTTTTAGTTTACAATAGCGTTCATGTGGTCGCCAGAGAGACAGAGAGGGAAAGTGAGAAATCCTACCCCAAGAGGATGGCCACATGAAATCCCTTCTCCTCTAGTCTCTTCTCAGTATTTTGATCACACACGCACACACACCTGACTTGTTTCTCAAGCTGCTGGGTCTGGGACTTGAACCCCACAGCCAGCCATGGAGGATCCAGCAGCCTTAACCACTATACTACCTGGCTGACCCACAAGTGGGTTTTATGGATACACGAATCAAAGAAATGCTCATTAAACAAAGCATTTGGTTTCTTCAATATAAAGCCTCTGCAAGTGTCTCCTAAGTTAACATGAACTGTGATCTCCCCAAACAGACATCCGGTATGTCATTCCCCCGCTGACTTAACCCTCAGTCCCTTATCTGTCACTTTAGAGCTGAATGGCTCCTTACTGACACACGACTATCAAACCTGGCTACGTGTTAGGTATGGCCTAATCAGACATACCCCTTACTGAGACTATACCCTGGTCTCACGACATTCCTCGGATGTCCCTAGGAATTCTTCAGCCACCTTGAGTGGGATCCAGAATAGATTCCTTCTAAAGATTCATCTCATCCATTTGCACTTGAGCCACCCCAATTTTACTCTAAGAGGACAACACCCAAGGGAAATTCTTGAAGTCTCTCTCTCTCACACACACACACAGCAATCACTATTCCAACATACCAAGTTCATGTGGCAGGGAACTACCTGCCATGCGAGAGTCACTGGGCTAGACACTTGGGGACTACAAAATTTAATCAGATTAATCATCTCAAGTTGCTGGCAGTTCAGTTGGAGGAAACATTTACAAATCAGTGGGAATCCCGATGGCAGGAAGCTGACCAACAATATATGAAGGCCATAAAAAGAGACCAAGGGAGGGCTGGAAGCACTCAGTGACAAGATCTGAATAAAGTATCCAGGTTAGTGAGAGGTGCCTCGGGGAGTGGGGAAGGCTCCAGTGGAAGAGGAGTCAACAAAGCAGGGTCAAGGAAAGAGAGGAGGGAAGGGATGAGGCAGGCAAAGCATCAAATTATGTGCAACTTCGTTCTGCAGGTGTCGGAAGCCATCAGGTGTTCTAGCACAAAAGTAACAAAAATCACGGTGCATCCGAGAAATTAATCAAAGATGAAAAACTATTTTTTTTTCTTTTTATCGCTGTAAGATCATTTCCAGCTCCATCACTCGTGGGCTGAGACCTCAGGTTACGTGAGCTGCCCAAAGCTTGGGTTCTCGCGTCTCTAACACTGGGCGACCATCCTCACACGGCCCATGTCACAGGGCTGAAGATTCACGATTACAAGGAGTAGAGATGTCGGGGTGCCCGCAAACGTAATGGACTTTAAAACGCCAGCATCCTCACTGCCGGCCGCGGGGCAGGGAGAGGGGAGAGCTGCGCGGTCAAGGGGCCAGAACCGGACCATCGGGCCCGCAGCTCAAAGGCCTCTGCTCCCACGGGATTCGGTGCCACCAGGCCGCCCAAACCATCCGCCACCGCGACGGGCCTGGAACCTCCATCCAAGAGAGGGCTAAGCCAGTGCGGAGACAGAGCCGAGAGTTGGGGCGGCCTGAATTGAGCGGTGGCCGCCGAGCTTCCTGGACGCGTCTCTACGGCCCTCTCGGACCCAGGAGCCATCCCGGGCCACCGGCTCAGCCGAGCACCGCGGGGCTATTACAGATCAAAACACTGCAGTCAGCCATCTGTAGTATGAGTCTTTAAAAAGTCAAGAAACTGGCAAGAGACCACATTAATCAATTTGTGATTTATACTGGACTTAAAATTGATTTCCCCTTGAAATCATAAATATAAAATGGTTTCCATTAAAATAGACTTATATTCCTAATACTGCAATAATACACTATTCTTCTGACAGTATGAAACTAAAGTTCAAGTTCATTAATGGAAGTGCTAGGGTTCAAGTAGCTAACAAAATACAGAATTACATTTGTAACTGGCTCTTGAAAGTAAGACCAAAGATGAATTGAGACAAATGAAAGTATGTTTGCATCCAGAATAAATCATTTTAAGTACAGGTCTGAAGGATACCCTCTCACATGATGATTTTTAGCCCTGGAGCGGGGGCGGGGCCAGGGTGCGCAGGCGCGGGCCGGGCGGCCCCTGCGTTCCTGCCTGCTGGCTTCAGTCGCCGCGGGTGGTCCGAGCTTTCCCCTTGGAGGAGGAGGCCGTTTTTTTGACTCGCGGCTGGTCTGCTGTTTTTGTCGTCCCCCTTCTGCTGGGGCTGTCAGTACGTGTGACGGTCTCAAACGTGCGACCTTGTGAGCTCCTGGTGGTGCCACCCAGTCCATCTCTCCCACTGAGACTTCTGGACCAGGATGCTGGCAGGGTCATGCTGGCAGGGTCAGCTCGGCCTCTAAGACCGAAGACCCGTGGGGCTGGCCTGCGCTGGCTCCTCGTCTGCCTCCCTTTTCCCACAGCTGCTTTGGGAGAATGAGGTCCCCATGTGCGAAGTCATCCCGCTAACATTCGCCAGCGCCCACTGGGTGACACGGCCATGCTGGACACCATGGAGCCTTGAAGCCTTGTCCGTAGTCTAACAGTGTAGTGAGGCAACTGACCACCCTGTGACACTTTAATGCTTGCTGCGGAAATGCCTGGTGCCCGAGAGGTTGGTGGGGGGAGGCGGTGAGTGGCCAGCTGGGGCAGATGAAGACTGCTAGGATCTGTGGATTCAGCAAGAATTCGCCTGAAAAAGTGACTTACTTACGTTTACTGGCAAAGAAGGGGAAGGGACAGGTGGGAATAAGGAAGGAACAGAAGAAAAGCCTGTGTAAAGGCTTTGAAGCCCAGGAGAGCCTAACACAGCAGAACTGGAAGACCAGTGGAGCCAGCTCTGAGAGCAAAAGGAAGAGAGATTAGTAGGACACCAGGCTGGAGAGGTTGGCAGGGCTGCAGTGCAGCGCCTTCTAGACCAAATTAAGGATTTTTTTTTCTCTGAAGGTTAGTAGAAAACCCTGGAAACTTTTAAGAAGGCTTGTCTGTCTTTTGAGCAGTAAATATATCTACTTGGTTATTTTTGTCTCCTAACACTACACAAAGGTAAGGCTCTCACCTCCATACCGTGTTCCTGTTCTCTTCCCTAGAAGCAATTTGTCCTATGTTCTTACACCTCTTCATGAAAGAGTTTAAAGAAAAGGTGTGACTTGCTCATACTTGTGTTTCAGGAAAATCACTGAAACAGACAGAGGGCAAGAAAGCAGTTAGGAGGCTCCTGCAGCGGCCCCTTTTAGAAATTCCTGGCTCTTTCCAGATCTGGATCACTTGCTAAAAAATGTCTGGGATGTGTTTGAGGGTGCTCTGCTACACAGACTTTCAAGAAGCATTGATTTTTATCCCAGTGCCTGGAACATAGTTGGCGCCGAGAACACACTTGCTTAATGAAGACACTTTAGAAGATTAAAAAAAACGAACATTAGGGCCCAGCAGGTGGTGTGGTAGTTGAGGCACTGGACCCACACATGACTGACCATGTTCGAGTCCTGTATGTGACATCTTGAGGATCATGCCAGGCATGTGCAATACGGGCCCAAAATCCCAAGAGGAGAATGGAGGAGAAGGGATTACAGCATGGCCGTCACCCCCATGGCTTCTAGGAAACCATGTTTGCTGAGTTTTTCCCTGTCTCACAGGCCTCTCCTTCTGGGTCTCCCTTCCTCCATCTCTTCTTTTTCCTCTCCTGACC